AAATATTGGAGAATCCTGTAGGTGCGAAAGTCAGCTGAGTCAAGGAGAAAACACCGAGGATCCAAAATGCCAAGTGATGTTCCCTGCCAGAGTAGATGGTTTTCTGTTTCCTGCTGGGGCTCTGGGAAATTCTCAGTGTGGTCAGATATGTGAATACCACAGTACCCGGCTGGCCACCCCTGGTGTGATTTCTTTTAACCACCACACTTTTGCCCTATGGCTTCAAGTATTATCACACTGGTGTTTAAACGTGCCTAAAGTGACCCTCAGTGTCCTTTCAAATACCACACTGCTTAGCACAGACAATGCCAAGGGAAAAAGGCTGTGGATTCATCAAATTAGAGAAAATACTAAAAAGTGTGTGACTGTATGTATGCGAAGCAGGGGAAACTGCTTTTAAAAATAACAGTATAGCCGGGTGTGGTGTCTCACGCCTGTAATCCCAGCACTTTGGGAGGCCAAGGCGGGTGGATTGCCTGAGGTCAGGAGTTCGAGGCCAGCCTGGCCAACATGGGGAAACCCCATCTCTACTAAAAATATAAAAACTACCTGGGCGTGGTGGCGGGTGCCTGTAATCCCAGCTACTTGGGAGGCTGAGGCAGGAGAATTGCTTGAACCCAGGAGACGGAGGTTGCAGTGAGCTGACACGGTGCCACTGCACTCCAGTCTTGGTGACAGAGTGAGACTCCGTCTCAAAAAAAAAAAAAAAAGGTAACAATACGAATTATTGTTCTTTTCAATTCTTCCTAATTTTTACAGATTAAGTTTGACTATGCACAGAAGGAGGAAGACACTTTAGGAAATTATAGAAGACCATTACATTTGAAAAGTTCACTTTTATGATAAAGCCACAAGACTCACAAGAAACATTTGAAAGTTGCCTAGTGCCCCTCTCCCAATTACATTGCATTTGAAACTTCCTAAAGGGATAACACGTCATTTGTTTTTCCTTCAGCTGGAGCTCTTAACTTCTTAGGAAATAAGAGTAACGAACCAGGGGCCTCTGTCCAAAGCCTGGATCAACTTGACTCTCGTTCTTTTTTCCTGGGCTACCTGAGTTAAGTTGCTTTCTTCTCCCTGTTTCTCCAGGAAAAAAATGATGACAATCCTCCTTTCCAGTTAATTCTTCCCAAGCTTGTTGGAAAGAGCCATTAGTTTATGTTTTATTCTTTATGCCTGTAAGATCTTGGGATGAAATACTCTTGATAAACCACAAAGCCTATTACTATTTTAAGTACCTGCATCTTCCACGAGAAGGAACACGCTGGCTCCCTGCAGGAGAAATAAATGGAGTCAGCTTTCTGGCTGGCACACTGTCTTTAAGAAAAAAAGAAAAAAGACACAGATCGTCTTGTTCTGTCTAGTGAAGAAAATGTGTTCAGATTTAGTAAAGCCGAGCACACATTTCAGAGGAGTTACTCGTTCCATACTCTCTGCTACACAAATCATGGTGCGGAGCGGGGGTTGTTTTGTTTCAGTGTGGTTATTTTTTGGTCCAGAAGAACAAGCTCTGAACACAAAATGGAGAGGATACCAGGGTGGTGATAAAATGTGCCTTTTAGGATGTATGTGGGAGGAAACATGTTCTTTCTCTTATTTTAGCGTCTTGTTTCATGGGTGTGAAGGAAAGAAAATGGCTTTGGCTACCTGCATTTCAAATCGTATGTGTGGTCTGAGGGAGCACCTGGCTTCCTAATTTTTTACAGATTAAGTTTGACTATGCACAGAAGGAGGAAGACTTGTAAGAAAACAGCATGCAAAAATATTTTGTTCTATTTTCCCATTGTAATCTCTCTTCAAGACTTTTTTTTGTCCCTCCCTTTGTTTCCTTGTCAAGATTGACAAGCATCCATGTGTTACCAAGTGACATAAAGTTCTTGCTTGAATAATCATGACTAAAATCCAGGGTATTTTAAAGCGCATTATTGACTTGGAGAGCCACCCATTAGATTGAATTCTTCTGAATTAACAAAGACTGACAGCCTCAGTGAGGTACGTTTACCCTAAACGGTCGGGGCCTCCCAGGTTCCTACCGTAGCCCTGGTGCTGGCCTCTTCTTCCCAGGGTTGTCATGATGAGGGTTATGGAGCTAGAAAGGGTTTTCTCGTTAATATTACAGAAAACTACATGTTTAGGAATTAAACTCTGGATCAAAAAAAGCAGATGACAAGAAGAGGAACTGAAACTTATTTTTATTTAAAGTGGGTAGCACTGCCTCGTTGACCTGCCATCAGCATGAACACCAACTAATGCCATCCTGGGAGTGAGATGGCAGAACTCATGGGACACTTAGAGAGAAAGACGGGGCCATATTTAATGAAAAGTAGTGAAATCATGTTTTACTCTCAGCATGTACTGAGGCTCTTGGGAAGGGAGTGTGACAATCTCTGAAGAAAATTGTTGAAAGGGTCATTATGTTGGAATATGCTGAACATGAGGCCTTTACTCCTTTTTCTTTCTCCAGTGCTAGGAGTGGCTCCAGAAACTCTGTATAAAAGGGCTTAGAAACTGCATTCTGTTTGGAAAGGAGGAGGGGGAAAGGGAACTTACCTGGAAGCTGTATTTCTCAGCAAGCCCACTGTTTTTAATTAGATACTATTTGTTTAAAGAGTGGCTTGGCTAATCACCTCCCTCAAACCAAATGAACCCTTGGTGAAGCCCTTGACTAATTCCTTGGGCAATGCAATTTCCTTTTTTTTTTTTTTAATCTTATGCATTTATCATCTGTATAAAACAAAGACGCGCAATTGATACAAATGTACTGCTCACAGAGTCCAGCAGTTACAACTCCATTTTAAAAATAGACCCTCATATGTATTTAACCACTGAATGACTTAATATAGCAGAATGTATCAAAATAAAAACTGATGGAGAATGTTGGCCAGATTAATTATTTCTAATAATTTTCAGAAATACTTGTTTTCCAAAGGGAATGTGCAAAAATCATAATGCTTTTCATAGCATTTTTTGCCACTGCTTTCCTGAAGGATAGTTATCAGCAGAATACAAAACTAATCTTTGCAAACAATCTCTAAGAAATTGTTTTGCAAACAATTCTCAAGAAACTGCTAGAATGGTCAGTGAGCAATTCATCAGGATTATACTGAACTTTTAAAATGACACCTAGATTATACACATTCCTATAAGACATTCAGGTACATACATGTGTGTTTTAGTCATCACATGCATGGACATCTGGATTCCAACATTTTCCCTGTGATTCTTTTTATGTAACACCTTAGATTACTTGAACATTCCAAATGCTTTGTTACCAGATTAGGTGTGTTCGTGCAGCCCTGCTCATTGTCCCATCTCTGGTCCAGTCAGCTTTCCATTAGAGTGTGCAACAATTTGCATCTTCTGGATTTTATCCCATTTCCCTCATCTGTGTGTGGGTGTGTGTCCAGCCTTCCCGCTCGATGAGGTTCTAGACATCTCACAGTTAGGTGTAGATACAGTCTCAGTTTCAGGAGCAGCTACCTGATTATTCTGTAAAGCAGAATCTGAAATTGTCATCTACTCCTCACTTCCCCTACTTCCTTAGGGGAAGAAATGTGTGATTTCTCTGGACCAACACACCCAAAATTTGCTTCAGTGGCATTCAGATGGTGCGATGGGTTTTCACATTTCTACAGTAGCCTCTGTGGCTAACATGAACATTTACGCCATGCATTTCTCCACTCTCTTAAAGCCTACAATGCTTTTAACTCAAGTGCTCTATTTTCTAAGAAGTCCCTAACCCCATCTTGACTATTTTAAATGTAATTTCCTTTAACTCAATTTTACTAATCTATAATCCCAAACTTTTTCCCATTCACGTATGTTTTTAAAAAAAGTATTTACCTCTCCCATTATATGTATAATATAAATGCTTGAATTTTATTTCTTCTCTACAAATCACTATCATGTCATGCTTACACGTAACGTCTGCCTTATGTTGTAAGCTTTGGAAGTACAGACTGTAAACATTAACTTTATTTTGCACAGCACTGAGCACAATGTCATGATCACTTAAAAGCTTTTGATGATGATGGTGAAGATGATAATGATAACGTAATGCTGTTCTGGTTTGAAAATGTCATATAAGTAGTCCAGTACATATTTTTTAATGTGAGTTGTTTCTCATTCTATAAAGCTGTCATTCTTCATTAACAAAAAAAGGTTACAGTAAGTTATAATTAGTGTTTAGTGCCCTGTCAAATAATTAAGTATAATAAAAAGCTTTCAATGAGTTTAATGTTAACATGGGGTAATTAAAGCCAAGTCTTGAAATGCATTAGGTGTCTATTATGTCAGATATTTGATGCTTTTTTCTTCTACAGATGAAATTGTCAAATTGTGCTTATAGCAATGTCATCATCAAAGACAAAAACACTCACATCACATAGATGTAAAATGGGCTTTGCAGTGCCCCAAAAGGGTAGAATTGAGAAAATCAAACAAATCTCTTATACAACCTTGTTATTCACAGATAAGGAAACTGAGTCCCAAAAATATTGTGTGACTTGCCTAAGGTCACACGGTAGTAAGTTAATTATTCCTTGATTGTGAGAATTGAGGCTTTGGGCAGTACTGAAGTGATTATTATTACTGTTATTGTTTCTTTTCTTCTTCCAGTATATTTGCTGGGAAAATGCTTATTTGGTCTTTTTCTTGACGGGGTGAAAAAACTACGTGCAAAGTAACAGAATATAATTTGTATTTAGCTCCTGTTGTATTTAACAGTCGTTTTAGGATGCAGGGCTTGTCATAGTGCCTATTTTAAGGCTCAAATACAGAGACTAGGCTGAAATCTCACTATTCTCTCATCAGAATAACTGGAATGCGCCCAGATACTTGGCCATTTCTAACTCTGCATTCTTTGAGCTTCCCAGGCCTTCCCTTGTGCATGTTGCATTATCTTTTCTGTCCACAAAGATTTTGAAAAATCAGTAGAGTACAAGTAGCCCCTGAAATAAAGGCGTCATTCAAGGAACAAAGAAGTAGAAGGAGGGATCCAATTAAAATGATGAAAATCTTTAATTTTTATTTAGGTATACTTGTACGGACACGTGTATATACAAATACAGATCGTATGGGTTTGTTTGTGTGTGGGTATTTCTTTTTTTTTTTTTTTTTTTTTTACATTTTCTTTAACGTTTATATAATGTCAGCATTTCAAAACAGCACTCGATGAGTAAGTGCAAAGGAACTGCAAAGCAGGGCAGTACAAGCACAGGACCACACGGAGCTGGACTTCACACCCAGACGCACACACAATGAGTGGCTTCAATGGGGTGTCAAGAGTAAGCATGGAAAGCGGATTTTGACTCATGGGTAACCTCCGACATGCCAGCATCTATTAAACTGTACAGACAATGGGAGCAAGCCCATTGTAGGGAGATTTGTCTCACATCCTAGCAGCCCTGGGGCCAATGCATGGGAAAAACTCAGTGATGCCAAACCAGACACAGACCTGACCATTCACGGCTCTGAAGGGAAATAAAATGTGGGAGGAAGGCGAGAGACAAAAAAATAAACTAAACATATAAAGTAAAAGGGGGGTGGTGTAGGCAAACGGGGGTGTTGGTGGAGGTGGTTTTCAAAAGAAAAGTCAGTGACCACAACTCTGAGAGCAATGAATGGAAAGGAGGAGTTGAAAACTGTTTTTCTAATTATTTGAAACTAATACAAATGGCTGCTGCCGTTGCTAAGGCACCGGAGAAAAACAGAGTCCCTGAAAATCCACAGGTACTGTGTGACTCTTCCTTTCACAACGACACGGAGAGGGAAACAGCCCCATTGAACCTTCCTACACTGATTGGTTTGCAACCATTTCCATGAGTGAGCTGCACATGATATCGATAAAGACTCTTCCTGGGAAAAAATAAAACAGTCCATGAAAACAATCACACACAGAAAACCAAACCAAACCAAAGTACAGAACCATTTCTAAATTCCCTATCCTTTTCAAACCAACATGCTGGTGGAGAAAGGAGGGTGGGCCACAGGGCTCCAACATCAGACCTTGAAAACACTGAGGACAAAATATTGATCAAAAAAGTCATGTTGTTCCAGGTCCCGAGATGATGGAGTCATAAGATTGAGTGGGCAATGGCCACACATGAGTCCTGTATGGAGCAGTGTCTCAGCCACTTGTGACTCTTGTTTTCAGCCATGGTACACATTGGATGTTTCAAAGCCTCAATGCATGTTTTGTATCCTGAAAGTCTATTGTTCTCACTTACAAAAGACATAAGAATCAAATTAATACTTTATTATCAAACACTATATACAACAGAGGTTGCTAATAATACAGAATTTAAAGAACGCAGTTTTTTTTTTTTTTTTTTTTTAATGTTTTACTTTTCTTTCCTCTGCCACCCAAGAAAGTACAGTACAAAACAATAGTCTAAACTAACACGAACTGTTACCTGGTCTATTAAAGGATACACGGTATCCACTAAACAGACAGATCCTTATTTCCCTGCTTCATGTTGCAAAGCCCTTGGCAACCAGGGGCAAAGGTCACTGGGGTTTGACTAACTGGGGCTGAGTGGCAGCTATGACTGCCTTTCAGACTTTTGAGTTGTTTTTGAAATTAAAAGCATCTACAAAGTTGCATCAACATCCTCCTAAGCCCCCAGAGGATTGTAACAACACCACAAAAGGCCACCAACACTTTTTAAACAAAATGAAAACTGTCTGACACCAATCATCTTGAAAACTCCATGGCAAGTGCATTAGCTATGATTACGTCACTTACAAGTAGAGAAGCATACTGTCTACTGGTGTGGATAGTCTTGCTATTTTCTTTATACTTAATTTGCAGTGGCAGAATGGTGAAGTAAAGGGGTCGAATTTCACTGTGAAAAAATGAAAGACAATGGCAGAGAGGGCCATAAGTAATTATTTCACCATTTGTTAGAGACAAATGCTAGGAAAACCACAGAAGTCACCATTTCTAAATTGAATTTAGCACTACTAACGTAGTTATGACTAACTGGAATCATTACAGAATCATTTGATTTCCTTGTGGTTATAGAACATGCAGTATTATTTTGGTTGTACTGATTCATTTTAGAAGGTATCTTTCTCCCCCTACCCAAATCCCACTGGACCAACAAGCCTGTAACTATTAATTATTTAAAAAAAAAGTATTTCTGAATATCACTGAGAGTACTAAGTATATAAATAGTTAAGGGAAAAAGGAATTGAATGCCGTGAACTTTTGTTTCAGTGAAATGGTGGCTGCCTTCTGTGATAAGACTCTGCCACTCCGGAGGAGTTCCTGATGTCAGGGGGGAATAGGATTGATTGTATCTGTGAGGCTGGCAACCCCACGCACATGGTTCCATGTGAGAACAGATTCGGCAGTGACATCCACTCCAAATGGATCAGGTAAGCCCAGATTACATTTCAACATGTGTACAACTCTCCAGGGTGCAATACATTTACAGCTGCCTTTCATTCACATACTTTTCTAATTCAGAACTACTCACAATTCTAAGCAAATTCCCATTCACGAGGTCTGTCCATAACGTGACCTTCTCTTTTTTTTTACACATACATCTTAAAAAACAAAGATATAAAAAATTCTTACTTTGCTGGAATGCTTTCAATTTTTCACATTTTACATGATCATCACATTTCTTACTTTGAAAGGCATGGTTTCTGTTGGCATGTCGTGCAATAGCCAAAAAAAAAAAAAAAAAAAAGGTTGGATTCCTTTTCCATTGGTCTAACACTTTTCCCTGTCTAGGCTTTGGATTTTGAAGTTCATGACAGCCCCACCACCAGTAGAAACCCCGAGGCTTGCATTTCCTGGTAATCGACTGGAAATGTCCCCTGTTGGCCATGCTAAGATTCCTTCAACAGGGTCATCCTGCATTTATTCTCCTTCTGCCCCACCCCCACAATGAAACAAGATAGCCCCCATATTTCTAAATGTATCAAGGGATACCACTTTTTCTCACAAGTTTAAATAGGACAAGCATATATACTCACTCTCAGCATAAAGTATATCTAAATAATGTATTTTCTATTCTAGTGGATTTTTAAAAAAATATTTTGTTAAAGTCTTTGGGACTCCATCTTGTTTATCTCCCGCAGATAAACACATGTTCCCCCTATGCTTTAGGCTGTGCCAGAAAGGGAAAGAATATAAAATCAACACTTGAATTTTTTTACTCCAAACTTTGGAATTTTATTTCCAAATTTCCCTTTAGCCCTCCCAAGTCGTGCTGACTGACTCTCCTGGTGACAGGGGTTTGTGTCCGAGCCCCTGCAGTCATGGAGTGTGGAGCAAAACGTGGGTACTAGGGTGGGAGGCGGGGAAAGGCCACAGCACACTGGCGCTCCAGCAAAGCCAAATCATGTCTCCTCTGGCCACTGCGGTCCTCTCCTTGGTATACGTCATCCCCCAGAGGAGCATCCAAAGCTATTCCACTATGCACTCATCAACCCTGGCTTGTCAGCCTTAGGGAAGGTCACTTTATTCATAAAAATGCCTCTTTGAGTTTCTAAAAAAAAAAAAAAAAAAGTTGTAGCACCATGGTGATCTGTATTCAAAGAAAAAATATCTGGTGTGCACTGCCCAGTCACCAAAAAAATTAGAGGCACTCACACATACACACCCCCAGCAAACCTGTAGTTTTCTCTGTTTTCACACCTGCTCTGTATTAGCATTCCACACCCAACCTGCCTCCTAGAAAAAAAAAAAGGCTTCTTTTAGAGAGCACAAGTTTTGCTGTCAAGAATGCTTTAAGACAGTCATATTAAAAAAAACCCAGTGTCTCAACCTTTTAGAAGCCAGTTCATTTATACACTCCTATAGGAAATGGTGTAATATTATATCTATTCTTAATACCTCCCCTCTGGACCTGACATGGTGACATGATGCCCTGCACGATCATCTTACAGTTCTGAATGAGAAGGCATAAATATTGTATAGGAGAGCAAAACCCTCCCGGGCCTAGCCAGCGCTGGCTGCATCTGTCACTACTCTTCCTTGTCCATAGACCGCTGACACAGTGCGCTAACGGAGGTGAGTTCTTAGAGGAGAATGCACAGGAGCTGACGAACCACTGGTGTCACTACGACAATTTGGCATTTTCATCTGGAGTCCATTTAATTTGGGAGGGGCGAGAGAAGTCAGGGGCCAGGGCTGGGGGTGGGGTGGGGTGAGGGAGGCAGGAACAAGTTTAGGCCCCCAGCCCCAAGTTGTTGCTTAGAATTCAGGCTGAAAGAAAGAAAACAAAAATCTGATATCTGCCAAAACCCAATAACAAGTCCCTTCTTAGGATGAGCAGTTAGGTGGATCTCTGGTGTTCCAAGACCCTGATGTTTTCTGTGACAAGTGACGGGAGGAGACTGTGCTATAATGTCAAAAGCATCGCCAGGAGGAACAGTAGGATTGCCAAAAGGCGGCTGGGTATCCTTGGTGTTTGTGCCGCGTTCTCGCCGCGGGATGGCTCGGCTGACTCATGTACGGTGTCATCTGTTCAAATAGAAAGCACACATTCCAATGAGATTTCACATCCTTAATAACTCTCTTGCAGTAGCCTGCTGTTAACAGACCTCGCCACCCTCTGCAAAGTAGGGTAATGAACCTTGTGCCACCATTGACTTTCATGTCTGCATAATCACTCATTATTTACAGCAAACAAAGAAGAAGCAAAGAAAATTGGACTTTCTCAGCAATATTAATACTTTCCTTAAAAATTGAACTTTCCTTAAAAATTGAAGGGAAAAATTATGCATACACTGTAAACTTTGGCACGTGAGCTGCTTTGGTTAGCCAGCAGTCAGATATGCCTTGCACAAATTTCAGATATCTGAATGTACCTTTGAAACCTAAGATGTCACAAGCAGGCAACTGACATGTTGGTGGGGGTGGGGCAGAATGCACTGCCCATTTCCCTTCTTTTAGCTGTTTCATAGGATTAGTGTAGATTGCCTGGTTGTTGGATGCCTAGACGAATTTTCAAACATGAAAAACTAAATGCCAAAACAACAGCATTTTGGATAAACTATACATCATGCCTAGTAAACTTCAATAAACCTATGCCCACTAGTTTGCCTATAATTAGGTGTCAATTATGGTGCTATCTCTATTACAAACCCTGTATTTCTAAGATTAAATTACTTGAACTTGACTATTTTTATTTTTATCGGGCTGAAGCTTGGCACATAAATTATCAGCATGGATGCAAATTTTCCTCTAAATAAAATGGATTAAGTGAGTTAAGCTTCTTTTATTTAGCTATAAAGTGTTCTATGAGGCTGCCTCTGACTTTGGATAGCCTTTCTGATCTGCATGATTAACAGGCTTAACTTCAAAATGGGAACTCTGCAGCAATTAGTACCAAAGAGAGGTTGGAGGCTTGCCTAGGAGCCATGCTCTGCTCCAGGGCTGCCTGTCTTCTTCTTTCCACCTGTCTAACATGCTTTTCTTTATTGTTAATTAAATTAAATTAATCAATGTTTTTGAGAGGTAAGGTCTTGCTCTGTTGTGCAGACTGGAGTGCAGTGGCCCAATCATAGCTCGCTGTAGTCTTGACCTCCCGGGCTCAAGCAATCCTCCTGCCTCAACCTCCCAAGTAGCTGGGACTCCAGGTGTGAACCACCATGCCTGGCTAATTTTAAACATTTTTAGAGAGACAGAGTTTTGCTTTGCCTCCCGGGCTGGTCTCAAACTCTTAGCCTCAACCAACCTCCTCCCCTGGCCTCCCAAAGCATTGGGATTATAGACAGGAGTCACCATACCTGGCCACTTGTGCTTTTAGACTAAGGATCTCTGAATAACACATTCTGGGGGCCAATAGTGAGTCCCTGTGCAAATTTTATCTCAGCATCAGGGTAACTTCCTGTAGGTGTTCAGCAGTTGCCATCTGGGAATTGCTCAAGGGTCAGAGAGAATGGTAACAAGGCTCTAGTGGTTGTTCACAATTATATTGACCTCAAAGGATAATCCCTAAATACCCCGGATGGGGCCACCTCAAACCCCTCAACGGGTTAACTAACCATTATTTTAAACTCATTTATATTTTCCTACCACACGTGTCACAATAAGGGTGCTTTTAGTTCACTGGGTAGAATCACACTCCCTAACATTTGTCCTAAAGTAACCACTTTTCAGGTTCACAGGCTGACTTCTGCTTCAGATATGCTCGTTTGGGATGTTTCTGTCCATCACATCCATTCCCAATGAGAAAGGTCTTCTTAGTGTTGAGTCTCCTGCCCTGGAGTGCTCTTATCATTTTAGCCTTCCCTCGAATAAAAGCTGTTGCATCCCCTTGTCAAATTTGCTCCCTTTTCCTGGACCTTAGTGAATCTACATGGAGTGATTTTAGCCTAGGAGACTAGAAAAGGTTAGGAAGCAAGATGGTAAGATAAATGGATGCAGAAAAAATATATAAAGTCCTCCACAATGTGGCCAAATACCTTCAGACTCTCCTCTATTCTCTGCTCTTTTTCAGCCTTGCAAGTGTATTAATTAAATCTGTAGTTAACAGGAAGTAGAAGTAAAGGCCCTTAATAGCCCTGAAATTAAAATCCAGATCACTTTCTTAAGAGCACCAATATGTTGTCAATCAAAACAATGGAGCACTTCAGGCTTAATTGTGAAATAACCATAAACCCTGAGGATTCCAGAGTTCATTTCATAATATCACATATTTAAATACCTGAAATTGCATCAGCTATTGGATTCCTCTCTATCTTATTTTTCCTAGCATATTACCCAATCCTTCTCCTTGTATAGTTTACAAGTGTACTGTTAAAGGTACCCAGCTAGCACTTAGATATTCGGTGTGAACCCCTTCACCACCACCCTAGTCCCTTCTATGTACACAGTGAGGGCTATCCATTATTCCAGGTCTACTCAGCACAAGACACAGGGAATAGGTCTTACAGGGTAATGGAGAGAAAGGCTTTTGTTTTTCATCTAAGTGCAGTATGAGGCTAAGTGGGCCTTTCAGTCCTTTTATCATATACAATCTTTGGAATTAACCTTTTATAAGCACCCAACGAATATACATCTTCCTGCCCCACAAAAGGAAAGTCAGTCCCATTAGGGCATCAGGATCCTTCTCTTCTTCCTGCAACACGCTGTTCCTCATTTGGGATTCCACAAAGCATCCTTTGATTAAAACAGGTTCCCAGTGTTGGGAATTCTACAGCCCCCAAAAGTGAAATGAGAAACTGGCTGTCATTTGGGCAAATCTGAGCAATTTCAGAATTCTAAGGAGGAATTCATAGGCAAAATCTATCCCAATGAAAAGTACACCTAAATATGAGAGAATTTCTAACACTTGTAACATGGGCTTGAGAGAAGAAAATGTTCCTCTTCAGAAGCTAAATCAAGTTTTGCCTCTTGGCTACAGGATTCCACAACATGGGGGTTTCAATGGTTAATGGAGAGAACACTAGCAATATTTTGGAGCATGTTATGTGGCATATGTCTGCCCTGAGATCATCCTGCATCCCTGATGATAGGAAACTGGCAGGCAGAGTGTGCAAGCAAACAAAAAAGACAAATACATTCCAAAGACAGGTGAATTAGTACACATTGCTGAGATCATGCAGTGGAATCCTTTCAGACTTGCTGGGTTCATAAAGACTGGGTCTACACCCGGAGCTGGGGGAAGGCAAATACCCTTTCATTCAGTGGTTTGACACAGTGGGGAAGAATTGCAAGTCTGACGGGACTTTCTCTCTCTTCTTAGAGACAGAATCTTGCTCTGTCACCCAGGATGGAGTGCAGTGGCATGATCATAGCTCACTGTAGCCTCGAACTCCTGGGCCTAAGCAATCCTCCCACCTCAGTCTCCCAAGTAGCTGAGACTATAGGCACACACACCACTTCTTTTTTTTTTTGGAAAGACAAGGTCTCACAGTGTTGTCCAGGTTGGTCTCAAACTCTCAGCCTCAAGCAATCCACCCATCTCAGCCTCTCAAATTGCTGAGATTATAGGTGTGAGGCACAGTGCTTCACTCCTTATTGTTTTCTTATTGCCAGGAATTGTGGCTCAACCTTGTCTCACTTTGTTAGTGAAGTTGCTCACCAGCAAGCCCTTAAAACATAGCTCTGACTGACTCAAGGAGCTTTTCCTGCATGTACACCTACGCTCTACTCCCCAGCGCACGTTTGCACACACTGAACTACATTCTGCCAAACTTTTACAAACTTCCAGCAGTTATATGTCCATCAATTTGGGGCCATTGTGCATTTTAAATGTTCAGTGAAAAAAAAACATTGTTTCCCCAAAGACAGTGACATATGTTCATGCATGAAGGCATCTTAATATCTTGCATTGTATCGTTAGTGGAATTCAAAGGTAATTTTCCTAACGGCAGGATGGTCCTCCATGTGCCTCTTCATTACCAGAGAAAAATATGCAATCTGTTAGGTATCTAAGCAGCCTTCTATGCTGTAGACAGGCAGTGGAGATTCCCTGGGGAAAAAAAAACCATGGGAAAGATATGCCTACATTATGTACAATGTGTATCAATAGATCATAATCCTGGGTAATTTTTGTTTAGGACATGCTGCTCATTCTTCTTGTGGCTTCTTAACAAAGCCAAGAGACTTAAGTCCTCTTTATGAACATACCTCTAGCAATGGTAAGAGACTACTACTTTGATACTAATATTGGAATAGGAGTCAGAAGATCTGAGTATTAACCCTGGATCTATCTAATCAGCAATGTGGCACGGGTGAGTCTCCTCAGTCACAGAAGGAAGAGTGTAGACTCTGGGGTTGTTGAGGGAGATACTGAGTAACTTGTAGATCCTCTGATGGCCCAAGTCCCCAATTGTGAGGACTCTGGTACCTTAAGAAGCCAAAGTCATGGCTCCAGATTTCCAGGACACAATTAAAATGTCTTCATGTCAGCATTCATTCCTTAAAACTTTCTAAAGCAGCTAACTGATCCCTGGGGAGCCACTAAGACCTCGGAGAGCTCATTGTACACACCTCTCATTTGCGCTCTGGGTGAGATGCCTGCCTTAGAAAAACAAGAATGCTTCAGGGAAAAAACTCTAACTCTTTCTGTCAGTTATAACGGGCAAGCTATTGTATGTCCTGAGGCACAGCATTTACTCAGGGTAAGTTTCCCTAAGGCTCATTGACTGTGCAGTCCTGGTTACAACATTGGAGGAAAAAGTAGACCTCAATGCCTGTTAGTTTCTAGGACCATAAGGAAGAGAAATTTCTACTACAAAAAGCAAAAAAAAAAAAAAAAAAAAAAAATCCCCATTTACATAAGGGGGCTCAAATCTCTCCATGAAGAGGAAAACATTTTATTGCCCTTAAGCTTTGAGATGATCAAGGGAGATGGGTAAGGAAACCAGTGAAGATCTGGAGCAGGTAGGGGAGAAGAGGACACCACAGAGGAAGGGAACACACAGGGCCTCCAGGCACACTCCTCCAATAAGCAGTTGGCAGAGGGCGACCACACCTCCCAGTGAATCTAGTTTCATTAAATGGCCAGACTGAATTGATAACCAAATGAATAGTTTACATGTTCTCATTATCCATAGTATGCGACAGACTAAATGCCTCAATGAGTGCTTTGATGGGTTTTATTTTTCTTTAGTTACGGGAAACATTAGGAGTGTGGAAGTCAACAGTAGAAAAATTTTATTTATCCTTAAAACTTATTTTGCCTCGGTAATCAAGGATCACATTTGGCTTAACAGGCTACTGGTACATTTGTGGCAGCAAGAGATGTGTGAATTTGTGGTGGCAATGTGATTATACTTCTCTAGACCAATTACTATTGACAATAGCTAAAATAATATTTAAATAAAATAAAGTTCCTTAGGTCAGTTCAATGATGCATGTAAATTTCTAGAGAAAACTAAATATGTTGAATTAGTTTCTATTTTGTGCAATAGTCTTATTACTTTTATCTATAGATTTGGACATAAAAAATAAAATTTTATGAACATATACAATAGAAATGTTTTGTGTCTTATATGAAAACAGAACCTTTAATATTCACAGTGATTCACCAGCATGCTCTGAGGATATGGCAAAAGGCAGTGAGATTTTAGCATTCTGATGGGGCTTCTATATTAGGATACTGCATTAGCTCAAACCCATTCCAAAAAAGAAAAGTTTTATTTTATCTAACATGCATTACACAAAGATACTGGAGGAATGAGGTAGAATATAAGTCATATTAGCATCACTAGCAATGAGCAAAAGCAGAACAACAACTATACCATGCAAACATGCAGAGAGGAAGAAAGGAAAAAAATACTGAAGCACCAGAGAAATAGATGCATTTGTTAAAAGAGATTCTCTAAGCATACTAACCTGCTGGTTCTAATGAATTTTCTACTTTGTCGTTAACATCGAAAACACGATCATGAACACCTATAGTTTTCATACAGCTATCTATAACAAAAATAGAGATAACAGCCAAATATGTTAGTGAAGACACCCTTAAACTCCCATTTCTTTCTTTTTTCTTTCTCTCCTTTTTTTCTTTTTTTATGTAAAGATTGTTTTGCAATCAATGGCATGTTCTAAATGCCAATATTGTTCCCATTTGCTCTGCATGTACAACAGTCTAAGAAACAACAAGTTAGCAACTGCTGTGTACTTAAGTAAAAGCATCATGAAGAATGAGAAAAAATATGATGAAAACTAAAATATGAATGTTGATATACAAAACAGATACCACACAAGATTTAACAGTAAAAAAAGTTTTACCGCTGTGAACCAGACCACACAATAAAGCATGCGCAGTGAAGCCACCCTCTGAAGCTCATTCTAGTGAACTTACTTGTCGGTCTCACAAAGACTTTGAGCTTTAGACAGGACCTTCTTCCATTATCTGGGATTGCAGAGGCTGTGGATAACACAGAGAGAGAGCAGGAGAGAAAGAAGAGAACAACACCACATTACTCTTCATTTTCACATACACATGATGGACAATAAATTCTTTCCTGATTTGGACAACAGGAACTTTCTCTAATTCTTCCCCCAAATTAAAACAAACAGTACTTTTCAGGTCTCACTGCTACAGAAAGGCTACTTTCATATCCTGATCTTCTCTTTTCAATACAATAAAAGAATCATGCAAGAATCTGAGTAATCTGTGAAGAAATACTTTGGATTTTTATTTCAAAGGCTCTTCCATTTAACTTGATCTGTTATCAATTTTCTCTAAATCGAGAGGATAATGTGTGAGCCCTCTGGCTTTCACAGAGCTGCTCCTCCTCTGCTGCAGGAAAAGGGGCCCAACAGAGGCATGAGGTGAAAGTGCCGGCAAAAACCAATAACAGAGAGTCACAAGGCAGACTTAAACATGACCTATTTCTGCTCGGGAAAGCAGAGCTTTGTCCGTCCTGAAAGCTTGTCTGTCAGTGCTTTTGCAGGTAATTCAATTAGAGGTTTTACTCAGAACTTGGCTCTGCATTCTATATGACTAACCCAAGCCCGGTAACTTCCATCATGCTATTATAAGTACAATATGCTATTGAGAAAGCACTATGTTGCAATGGTACATGTATTTTTTTTTTTAATTTGCCACAGAGAAGGATGGAATTAATAAAGTGGGCTTACCAAAACATGACAGCATGTTTCAAGTTATAAATCACTTGAGGAAGAAACTTTCTTCTCCTCTTCAAGATAATAAGACTGTAAACTTTCCCTACGGTTGAAAGATTATCTCCCCTCTGTACACACAGCAAAATGTCAAAGGAATTTCCAAGGGCAGTAAGGCCCTTCACAACCACATGTATTTACTAATGCATTCTAGAAATGAAAAAAATTACAGAAACGAGCGTCGCATACTTTCCTCCCTATGTGTTTGCTTCAAGTGGTTTCTTTGTTCAGAAAAAGCAGATGACATCCATCAAATCACACATGGCTTACAATAAGTTTGGCAATACCCAAAGTGACAAAGCGAGGGATCGGCATTTGGTGTGTCTTCTCTTTCCTTTATTTTTAAATTATTCCTCATGGGGAGCCCAGAACACAAAAATGCTTCTTTTGCAGGTGAGAGGATTCAATATACAAACTTGCAAACACATTTTATACAATCTCCTTATGTAATTCTAGATCCAAGTAACTCTCCTGGAGGAGAACTAAATTCACCAACTAAATAATGTCAAGTAGTATAGAGCCCCCAGTGTCCCTATTCAACACCTGTTGAAAACTACTTTAATTTTAAAACAAAAGTATAGAGAAAAAGTGTTTTTGGTCCTCCCTATCTCCCCTGGTTGCTCTGACAAGCAGTTAAGAAGTGCTAACAGCTGGCTTTGCTGTAGGCTTTCATTAAATCAAAGTCAGAAAAACTCCCTCTACTGACATTTACAGTAACTAGTGTGTTATTTAGGGCACAATATTTGCACTCTGCAGTTTGATCCAGGAAATGGTGTCCTTCCTGTGGACCTCAACTGCAAATGTGCATGTCGCAAATACAGTACACATAGGTGACTCCAATTCATTAGGAAAACCACGGGTTCTTGAGGGAGTATATGTCTTATTCATGAGAGTTAGTGTGAAAAAAGTGACACATGGATGTTCACACTGCTGTTCTATGAATTTCTGAGCTGAGATGAACTCACTTCAAGCCTCACGAACTTGATTTGGTACATGCAAATAACTGACTTTACAGATGATACTGCTAGATAAACATGGTGAAGACAAAAGCAAATGCTTAACTGGTTTAGGGAGGAGCTTCTTGGATTTAGTACAGGTCTTTCAGATTTGTATATAGGAGAAATAAATCTAGGACATGAAAATTATTGTAGGGCACATGGGAATAACTAAAGAGCAAATGATAAGCCATCCAGGAAAAAACTGGAGAGTTCTCTCATGAGCTCTCAAGGAGGGACATAGTCTTAGCTAGTGGCTGTGCTACATACTTCTGTAAATTAAAAATATCGAATGTATTTGTATTTATATGACACATAAAATAAAAACCTCTCTTCCCTAACAACCTGCCCCATTACTTTCTTATTTTCTATCACCAGAAAATGTGGCTGATGCCTTGTGATACTGTTTGACTATTATACTCTAATCCTTAGAAAAATTTATGAACAAGGAATATTAGCATACAATGTGATATGTGAGTACACAACACAGATTGCACGCCATGGATTGACTCTATCATCACTGCATCACTGGCCTGAGCTCAAGGAGTAAACTCCTAACCCTTCAAGACAACCTGAGAAGTGTGCCTTACTAGCTCAGTATAACTTGGGTTTCTTATTTAACACCTTGAAAAACAAACAAAAAATCCAAAAAGATGAAAACTTTTTCCATATAGTATCAAAACTCTATTTTTTAAATGTAAGGTTTAATAAAGTGAGAGTGTGGTTTTCCTCTATGTTATGCTCAAGGTTCTTTCACCACATACTTCCTGGCTGACAAAGGATACCTTTATACCAACTTAAATATACAGCTGATTAATTTTTAGTACTATTTGAAGATATAAGTGCATTACTAATCACAATAAGCAAAAGGCAGAGGACTAAGCACTAAAATCAAAACATAACAGAGGAATTGAAACATATAATATTCCCACTACTAAACTTATAAAGAAAATCTCAGGATCAATTTATGAGCAATAGATAGAGCAGAGGATGGAAATGAAGGAGTAAAATCTTAAAACATGCTTTGTTTTTGTCAGGAGGTAGGTAGTATTAATCCTTAGGGCTCTAGAGATACATCACTTTGTCTTAGTTAAAAGCCAACTTTATCTTAGTTAAAAGCAAATATGTAAGCATTTTACACATAAATTATATACATAAATATATATAAATTTGTATACATAAATTATATTCACTATATATAACTTCTTGTGCTGCTTTCCTTAGAAAATGAATAGTCGATGTTGAAAGTTGATAGTGAATAATTATAAAAATCCATTACATATTACTGCAGCTTCATCTACCATTTCAAATGCTTTTAAAATGCCTACTATGGGCTGGGTGCAGTGGTTCATGCGTACAATCCTAACACTGTGGGAGGCCAAGGTGGATGGATCACTTAAGGCCAGGAGATCGAGACCAGCCTGGCCAACTTGGCAAAACCCTGTCTCTATTAAAAATGCAAAAATTAGCCGGGCATGGGGGCACACACTTGTAATCCCAGCTACTCGGGAGGCTGAGGCATAAGAATTGCTTGAGTCCAGGAGGTGGAGGTTGCAGTGAGCCGAGATTGAGCTACTGTACTCCAGCCCAGCAACAGAGCTAGACTCTGTATCAAAAATAAATAAATAAAATAAAATGCCTACTATGTATCAGCTTCTTTATTAGGTGCTGTGCATGTGAAGAGATATAAGATTTCAAACTGTCCCTGTCTTTGTGTTGTGCTTCTTCAAGCTGGGACATAAATATGAACCACAGTTTAGGGTACCCTGGAGGGATCCATGTGACAGCTGAGGTTCACATGAAGAGCCAGTGCAGCTCTGGGCAGGGAGCAAGAGTGTGTACCAGACATGTTTATCAGAGGCTTCACAGGTCCTCCAGAAGCTAACCAGCAGCAACTGGGACAGAAGACATTTTATCCCTAAATTTCCAAATCGGAGCTTTGGCAACCAAAAAGAGGCAGTGACTTGCAAACAGGTGAAAAAAATCTAGATCTGAAATCTTCCTCTAAAGATACACGGATTTTCTAATAGGATTTTTCAACTTAAAATGAGAAATGTCTTAAACAGCCGCCGCATAATCCAAATTCACCTCCATTTACTCAGTTTACTCCTTAAAGTGTATACTGGAGTCAGGAAGCTGGGAATAGGGATATGGGGACAATTAAAACAAGCATAATCATTCCATTCCATTATCTTAATAGCAACTTTATAAATCAATCCATAGAGTCCCTTCCCCCAAATGAGCTGCAAAGTACCAATCAAAACCTTATAACACATAATGAAATACAAGCCGGAGACTCTCTGGTTCTCTGTGTTTAGAGTACCTCGCTAATAAGGCCGTGAGGGCCCCTTACTTTTACTCTGTTCCATGACCTCAGACAGGGGCTCTAACTTTAGCCTTCCCAAAAATCTTGGTCTCCTGGGGCTCAGGTGAGCGTGACTCAGCACTTAGCCAATTTGGTATAGAAAAGTGACCATATTCAGTGCCCCAAATCAGCACTTCTAAAAGTTATAATTAGCAATGCAAATATATGTAACATTCATACCACAATTCATCATAGGTCTATCCTTCAGACAGAGTAGAGAACACATCCCTTCAGGTACTGCCATGATGCTTGTGGCATGCAGCTTCTGACATGGCTCCCAGTGATCCCCAACTTCCTGTAGGCAGGCCTTTGTATAATCCCCTTCCCTTGAGAGGGGGCTGAACTTATTAACTTGCTTCTAATGAGCAGAACACTGCAAAAGTGATGGGTTGTCACTCTGATTATGTTACAAAAGACTGTGCCTTACTTCTAGCGAACACTCTGTCTTTTGCTCATGAAACAAGGTACCATATTGTGAGATTTCCAATGGAGAGGACCATGTAGCAAGAAACTAAGGGAGACTTCCAGCCAAGAGGTGCAAGGAACTGATGTCATAGTTCAACAACCCACAAGGAACTGAATCGGCTAACAATCGGGTGAGTGAGCTGGAAAGTGAATCCTTCTCGCTGAGCCTTGAGATGACTGTTGCCTTAGGAGAAACCCAAAGGATCCAGCTACGCTGCCCCTGGATTCCTGGTCCATGGAAACTGTGGAATAATAAATGTTTTAGCCACAAAATTTGGGGGTAATTTTTTCACCAAGAGCTGATACAATGCTGTACACTAACAAATCTGTGTAATTAAAGGCTTCAAGCCAACTTCGGACTGAAGGACTAAGACACTCTGGCATGCTCTGCTAATGGCCAGCATGCCCTTGCTCCCA